ATCCAGGGTGAGTGAGTTCAGAATTTCTACTGCTGGGGGGAGTGCGTCCCTGTTTGTTCAAGATGGCACCTAGCAGGGGCTGGCAGGGGCTCCCGAGCGCCCTGTGGATAAATGGGCTCTGGGTGCCTATTCATTGGAAATGCATGACTGTGGCAGTGAGTTTGCCAGCGCAGAGCTCTGACACAGTCTGAGGGGCCCTGGTGCTAAAGATGCGTAGATAGGTTGTCTGTGAGCATTTATTCAGGAAGAGGGAATTCAGAATTTCTACTGCGGGGCAGCGCCCCCTTGTCTGTTCAAAATCACACCCAGCAGGGGTTCACAGCGCCATCCAAGAACTGCCTATGTAGTGGTGTGCCCTGGAAGTCTGCACGCTGGAAACGCATGGATGTTGGAAATGCGAGAATATTGGAAATGCAAGAATGTGGTGTCTGGCGTTCTGCTACCAGGGAGGGGGGAAGTTGCACTTATTGCTGTGGGAGTGGTGCACCTTTGGAGGTAGAGGTCCCAGCGTTCACGGGTCTGTGGGTGGGACAGCAGGATTTTGGCTGGAGTGGCTGCTGGGTCGCGGGCAGTGTCCAAGACCTGTCTGGGTGGTGGTGCTGATGAGTTCCTAGGAGAGGCCACTCTCCCCTTCGAGATGGCTCTGTGCCTGAGTCCTGCAATCTGGGGAGTGCCTGCAGTGGTGGTAGTCTCTCCCTGTCCAAGAGAGCTTGGTCTGCCAGCCTCTGCTGCTTCTGCCAGATTTAACTGTCCCTCCCTCACTCACACACATACCACACACATCCACACACTCTCCTTTCATTCCCTCACTCACTCAGTTCCTATCCCTCACCTCCATCCTGCCAGCTGCTGTGATGCTTTTCTGATTATGTGATTTTTGTCTTTCAATTTGTTTATGTGATGTATAATGTTTAGTGATTCGAGGACATTGTACCAAACTTGCATCCCTGGAATAAATCCCACTTGATCAAGGTGTATGATCTTTCTTCTTCTCCTTCTCCCCCCCTTCTTCTTTTTATATCCAAAATGTGTTTATTGGGATGGTTTCCCACTCTTCTTGATTTGAGGTGATTTTGGTGCTGCTTCCTTTTGAAGGAGCATCCTTCTGTAAGCCTTGCTTTTCCTCTTGTTGGCTGACAGAGAACAGTGGAGCAATCAACACAGTAGCAATCAAAACTACTGTTTGTGCATGGCTAAACACGGTGGTGATTTTATAGCATCCTGGGCATTTTACATCCATGAAGTAAGAATTGGGACTCTGCACCAGGTACTACTTCTTGTGTTTCCTCTTCTCCTCTTCTGGAGAGGGATGGAGGAGATCCTTTCCGAGCTGGGAGAGCTTGTCCCTGGCTGGGCCTGGTGTTTGTGCAGCTGGACTGCCATCTTATCTCCTCTTAGCTCCCATCTATGCAGCCCCCGCCTCCCACCTCTGCAGGCCTCTGCAGTCCCTGTGGTTAATGTCCTAGGGCCAGTGGTTGGCAAACTCATTAGCCAACAGAGCCAAATATCAACAGTACAATGATTGAAATTTATTTGAGAGGCAAATTTTTTAAACTTAAACTATATAGGTAGGTACATTGTTATTAACTTAATTAGGGTACTCCTAAGGCTTAGTAAGAGCCACACTCAAGGGGCCAAAGAGCCACATGTGGCTTGCGAGCCGCAGTTTGCCGACCACGATGACCTCGGCAATTCGGAGGGCAAGTGAGGCCCTCTGCAATCCAAAACCAGTGTGAAGGAAGCATGTGGACAGAAGAGCAAGATCTCTGCTAAAACCTGCACCAAGGAACTCACAGGCATATTGTCGTGGGAAGGCTGTCACCACCTGAAAGGCTGGTGTATGATCTTTCTCAAGTAATGCTGGATCTAATTTGCTAGAATTTTGTTGAGGATTTTAGCATTTATATTCATTACAATATTGGCCTGGAATTCTCTTTCTCTGTAGTGTCTTTATCTGGTTTTGGGATTAGGGTTATGCTGGCTTCATAGAAAGAGCTTGGGCGTGTGCCTTCCTCTTGAATTTTTTGGAATAGAGTGAGGAGGATAGGTATTAGTTCTTTGAATCTTTGGTAAAACTCCTCTGTGAAGCCGCCTGGCCCAGGGCTTTTGTTTGCTGTAAGTTTTTTGAATACTGCTTCAATTTCATCTGTAGTTATCAGCCTATTCAGGTTTTTTGCTTCTTCTTGATTGAGTTTTGGAAGATGGTATTTTTCTAGGAATATGTCCATTTTGTTTGTTGTCCAGTTTGTTGGAGTAGAGTTGTTTGTAGTATTTTTTTTTCTACAGTCCTTTGTATGTTTGTGGGGTCTTTCATTTCTGATTTTGTTTACTTGTGTTCTCTCTCTTTGTTTCCTGGTGAGCCTGGCTAGAGGTCCATCCATCTTGTTTATCCTTGGTTTTATTTGTCTTTTGAACTTTTTTTTGTCTCTATGTAATTTTTTTCTGCTCTGGTCTTTATTATTTCCTTCCTTCTGCTTACTCTGGGCTTTTTTTGTTGCTCTCTTTCTAATTCTTTAAGTTGTAGGGTTAGATAATTTATTACCAGTGTTTCTTGTTTTTTGAGATAGGCCTGTGGAGCGATGAACTTCCCTCTCAGGACTGCTTTCACTGTGTCCCATAGATTTTGGATTGTTGCGTTTTCATTGTTATTTATTTCCAGGATGCTTTTATTTCTTTTTTAACCTCTTTGGTAGCCCAATCATTGTTTAATAGCATGCTGTTTAGCTTCTAAGTGTTTGATTTTTTTTAAAAAAATTATTTTTATTGTAATTGATTTCTAATTTTATGCCATTGAGATATGAGAAGATGCTTGATATGATTTCTATCCTCTTGAATTTGAAGAGACTTATTTGTGTCCTAATATGTGGTCTATCTTTGAAAATGTCCCATGTGCATTTGAGAAGAATGTGTATTTCTTTCAGGTGAAATGTTCTGATGATGTCAATTAGCTCCATCTGATCTAGTGAGGTGTTTAGGATTGCTGTTGTTGATTTTTTTTGTCTAGAAGATTTATCCAGTGATGTCAATGAGGTACTAAAGACCCCTACAATGATTCCATTGCTGCCAATCTCTCCCTTGTTATCTTTCAGAAGTTGTTTTATGTATTTGGGTGCTTCTGCATTGGGTGCATGTATGTTTATCAGAGTTATTTCCTCTTGTTGTATCAGTCCCTTTAGTATTATGAAGTGGCCTTCCTTCTTGTTACGGCCTTCACTTTGAAGTCTAATTTGTCTGATATAAGTATTGCTACCCCAGCTTTCTTTTTCCTTTCTCTTTGCCTAAAATTTTTTTTCCCATCCCTTCACTTTCAGTCTGTGTGCATCCTTTGTTATGAAGTGGGTCTCTTGTAGACAACATATATATGGGTCATGTTTTCTTATCTATTCAGCCACTCTATGTCTTTTGATTGGAGCATTTAATCCATTTACATTTAAATTTATCATTGACAGGTACTTGTTTGTTGCCATTTTTATTCTTTATGACTATGTTTCTTCTTCCCTTTCTATTTCTTATTTTTACAGCAGTCCTTTTAACATTTCTTCCATTGCTGACTTGGTTAAATTTTATGTATAGTTGTGAGGTAAGGTTAGACATTCATGCACCATCCTCCCCCCCCGCCACCCACACACGCACACACAAACACACATTTACCACCATGGAGAGTTCCAGCACTGTTTGTTGAAAATGCAATGCTTTCCCCCATTACCCTGGCACCTTTGTGAAAATCAATTGACCTCTTATTTGTAGGTCTCTTTGAACACTTTTATTTTTTTCATTGATCTATGTATTCTTCCACATATTCCACACTTTCTTAATTTCTGAAACTTTAGAGTAATTCCTTCTCATTGTGGTAAAATAAATATACTATTTATCATTTTAACCATTTAACTTTACAATTCAGTGTAATTAAATACATTCATAATGAATATAATCATTACCATTATCTATGCCCCAAACTTTTTCATCATCCCAATACAAACTCTGTACCATAAAACACAAAAAATGTTGCTGGGATTATTATTGGAGTTGCATTGAACCTATACATAATTTAGGGGAAATTTATTTATTGAGACTTTTTAGTCTTCTTATTCATGTCTGTTGAATATGTCTACATTTTATTACATCTTTTATTTCTCTCAGCAATATTTTGTAGTTTTCAGTGGATAAGTCTTGTGCATATTTTGTTAAAGTTTCCCCTAAGTATTTCATGATTTTTATTGTCATTTACATGGTATTTAAAAGTTTTATTTTCCATATATCCATTATTACACATAGAAACATTTAGTTTATATCTACTATACCATCTAAATATTTACCATCTGCCATCACACTATGCTACATCACAAGTCATATGCTACGTATGATTTTGTACCCAAGGTTTGCTCAATGTGGATTTTGACTCCTACCTTATTTCATGTTTTGTTGTTTCCCTGACAAATTTTTACTTATCAAAATATAGATCAAATACCACCTCTTCTATGAAGCATTTCCTGGCTCAGAATTAGATTATCTTCTGTGTTCTCATAAAGCACTTAATAGCTATTTACATAATAGTATTTGCTAAACTATATTGTTACCTATTTATATGTTGGTCTACCTATAATTGTGAGCACCTTATGGGAAAACCCACATCTAATTATTTTTGATCTCCAGCATCTAGCCGGTGATCAATAAATAAATTAACCAGAATATATGAATATTGACTGGATAAATTAAAATGCTTTATAGGATTTATAATCTTAAGTTATGGGAAGACTTTCAGATTATCTTAATCAAATTCTCCTATTCAATATTTGAGATAATAGATGGTTATAACTTGTCCAAAAGAAAACCAATGAGTTGATGGTAAAGACAGTACTGGTATTCATTTTCTTATTCCTCGTGTAGTTGTTAGTCCCTGTCTGTCTTAAGGCAGAGATGAAAATAATTTGGGTATACAAAAAGGAAAACATCAAAGACGATTGTTAAATTAATGTTTACCCCACCCCTTGGTTTTATAGATTGTCTTTTTCTTGCCTTTGGATGTTACTCAAAAGAATGAATTATCTACAATAGAAGAAGATGCTATAATACAATTTGACTTTCAAGAAGAGTGTTTCAAGGACAAATCAACAGCAAAGATGCAACCTGTTTTCTTTGGAGGCTATAGTTTCTTCAAATTAAGAGTCTCAAGAAAACCCTTAACCATCCATCATTCAGAAAAGAGAGGCAGTAATAATTGCTACACAACTTCTTTATCTGAGTCAGATGAACAACAGAAAAATATCCCTCCTTCTTTAAGACCTTACGAGACTGATACTGAGCAGCAACCTTTGTCTGTCATATTAGAGAAAAGGCCCTCAGAAGAAATTGGACACAATGAACACATAAATGATGAAGATCTACATTTTGCTATCGAACAACCTCCAGAAATGGAAACACAATCAATGCAGGCTAACTCCTTGACACCCCAAGTTTTTCCATCCGATTCTGTAAAAAGTCTTGAAGCATTACCACAACCTGACTTGTCATCTCAAGTTCTGTTAGTAAAAGCCCCGCTACCTGAAACCCCACCATCCCATGTTACACAGTCTCATGACACAGAAACTGAAGATATGCCATCCCAAGAGATACCATCTTCAAACACACCATCCCAAGGCATGTCTTCCCAAGATATGCTATACCAAGATATACAATTACAAAACATGTCTTCCCAAGAAAAGCTTTCCCAAGTACAAGTTCTGCCGCCACTACAAGCTGTGCTATTTGAAGCCCCAACATTCTCGTCTCATGACTTGGTATCTGAAGATATGATACCCCAAAGCACACAATCCAAGGACATACAATCTCAAAATATGCCTTCCCAAGATATGCTTTCCAGAGTACAAGTTCTGCCACAATCCATGCTATATGAAGTCCCAACATTCTTTTCTCCTTCCCAAGATAAACTTTCCCAAGTACAAGTTCTGCCACAATCCATGCTATATGAAGTCCCAACATTCTTTTCTCCTTCCCAAGATAAACTTTCCCAAGTACAAGTTCTGCCACAATCCATGCTATATGAAGTCCCAACATTCTTTTCTCCTTCCCAAGATAAACTTTCCCGAGTACAAGTTCTGCCACAATCCATGCTATATGAAGTCCCAACATTCTTTTCTCCTTCCCAAGATAAACTTTCCCAAGTACAAGTTCTGCCACAATCCATGCTATATGAAGTCCCAACATTCTTTTCTCCTTCCCAAGATAAACTTTCCCAAGTACAAGTTCTGCCACAATCCATGCTATATGAAGTCCCAACATTCTTTTCTCCTTCCCAAGATAAACTTTCCCAAGTACAAGTTCTGCCACAATCCATGCTATATGAAGTCCCAACATTCTTTTCTCCTTCCCAAGATAAACTTTCCCAAGTACAAGTTCTGCCACAATCCATGCTATATGAAGTTTCAACATTCTTTTCTCCTTCCCAAGATAAGCTTTCCCAAGTACAAGTTCTGCCACAAGCCATACTATATGAAGCCCCAACATTCTTGTCTCACGATTTGGTATCCGAAGAGATGTCACCCCAAAACACACAATCCAAGGACATAGAATCTCAAAACATGCCTTCCCAAGATATGCTTTCCCGAGTACAAGTTCTGCCACAATCCATGCTATATGAAGCCCCAACATTCTTGTCTCACGATTTGGTATCTGAAGAGATGTCACCCCAAAACACACAATCCAAGGACATAGAATCTCAAAACATGCCTTCCGAAGATATGCTTTCCCGAGTACAAGTTCTGCCACAATCCATGCTATATGAAGTCCCAACATTCTTTTCTCCTTCCCAAGATAAGCTTCCCCAAGTACAAGTTCTGCCACAATCCATGCTATATGAAGCCTCAACATTCTTGTCTCATGATTTGGTATCTGAAGAGATGTCACCCCAAAACATACAATCCCCTAACACACAATCCAAGGACATAGAATCTCAAAACATGCCTTCCCAAGATATGCTTTCCCGAGTACAAGTTCTGCCACAATCCATGCTATATGAAGCCCCAACTTTCCATGTCACACAAGACCTGTTATCCGAAACCATGCAAATTGAAGCCCAAACATTCCATGCTATGCAGGCCATTAATGTACAACACCTAGAACAGCAATCCCTGGATCTTCAAAATATCCAACATCAAGACCAGCAATTTACAAGGGTATCATATCAAGACCTTCAATCAGAAGTCAAGTTACTGACTGAAGAATGGAAATTTAAGGAGAAACACCACCAAATCAGGAAATCCATCAAGCAGACTTCCTTCGACCTGCATAACAAACATCCAAGAAAGAAATCTATGGACTTACCAATCCAAGACCAGCAACCCCCAAGGAGGAAATCCTTAGACCAGCAAATCAAAGGCTGGCTATCCCCAAAGAGGCACTCCATAGATAAGCAAGATAAGCAAGTTCAAGTTAAGCAATTCTCAGATCAGCAAACTGAAGACCAGCTGGCCCAAAGAAAGCAATCCCTAAAGCAACAATACCAAAACTTGCAAGGTGAAAACCACGGCAAAGAGGAGAAATCCCTTAAAAAACAAATCCAATTTCAACAAACTCAAGACCTGCAGGTTCAAGAGGAGAAATCCTCAAAGCAGCTAGGTGAACATCTGCAATCCCAAATTCAGAAACACCAAGACTGGCAATCTTTAGGCCAACAATCCCAAGACTGGGAAACTCAAGAATGGATAAACAAAGATCATAAAGCACAAGAAAGAAATTTTGAAATGAAACGTTCCATAAATTGGGAATCCCACTCCACGCAAACCCACGATATATTAGAGAAAGAATTCCTAATGCAGAAAGTTATATTCAAAGAGACCAAAGCTTTGCACACCATACCTCAACATCACCTTGATCAGCAATTACAAGATAAGAACCAACAAAAATTTCGATGCACAGCTATCAAAAAAGAAGACATGCAAATAAACACTAGACCAACAAAAGACAATATGAAAATAAGCACTATACAAACAAAAGACATCAGATTGGTAGAAATGAAAAGTCTATGCCAAAATTCAAGTGATGCTCTATCAGAAGATATGAAGCCAGAATTTCATCATTCCTCCTGCCAAAGCTCAGTACAAGATGAATCTTCCACCTGTGAAGGCTCAGAACAAGATGTGCAACAAAATACTTCAGTTAGTTCAACTTCATACAAAGAAGATCCAACCTTAACCTCATGTTATCCAAAGGATCAACAGCAATCTGAAGACTCTGACTAACTTGTAGAATCTACTCAAATACCACACTGCTCCCAATTATGGAACCAAATTGGGGGAAAACAATATAGTCACCTCCTGTATTCTCAAGTGGTGTTGCTAGCTTATTCATTCACCAGAAAATGTAGGGCATGCAGAACACTCAAAGGATTTGTCCTTAAATAAAAAAAATGACAACAAATATTAATACTATTTCAGAACTTTCTGGGGGTAAAGGAATAATTCACATTTAAATTCTTTGTTATCAATGTTAGTGTTTTAATTTATGATCAGCAATTCATTTTACAATTTAATATTTAGTGGACCTATTTTTCTATGGTGTTGATATTTTTTGCCTTTTCCTCTATGTATTATAGGGGCTTAGCACATCAACCAGGAGGAAGTCTATGCAGGCTCTAAGCGCTAAAGAACCAAAAGAGTCAGCAAAGAACAAAAATCAATTCCACCATTCCTCTATTTTGCTGTTCCCAATTACCCAATTTAATCCCTCCTCCCCAAATCTATGTTGAGGATATATACTCTAAGTTTGTTTAATTATTAATGGGATAACATGGTAATGAGGACATAATGTGGTATAGGGAGAGAATAAAACACACCTAGAGATGGGGAAGTAGGAGGTAGAGAAGGATAGAGAATGCAGATGCCATCAAAGTATGAAAGACTGTAATGAGTGAAACTCTAGATCCTTTCCATATGCCTGCACTCACTGCTTCTAACTTCTCAACCCTCATGACATATAATTTCATCCTCAGTAGTCAGAGAAAATTGTGTGAACAAAAGCCATCAGTTACCCTCCATCTTCCAAGCCCAATTACATTTTCCAATCCTCATTGTCCTTGATCACTTTGATACATTTGGAATTGTTAATCATCCTCCTCTCTGTGATCTTCATCACCTTTGTTGGCTTCTTTGTTTTTTCTCTCCCTGTTTCAAAAAGTCTAAAATAAGTATTTTCAGGGGACCTCTCACCAATTCCCTTCTTTTCTGAAATCATATACACTCTTGTAGTTCTCTTATGTTCTTGTGAATAAGCCCCGACCATCATATCTGTCTTCTACAGAATTCTGCACAGAGACTTGCTTCCAGCAAGCATTCAATAAATCGTTTTTAAAAGCATAAATGGGAGACTGAACCCTCCACCTAGAGATCAGTGAAGTTATGTGTAGCAAAATAATGAGGCATAGAGTAGAGTTAGAGAGACTGGTTATATGTCCCCTGTCTTTGTCACTGTAGTAAGGATTAGTCTTCTGAGCTTCCCAAGGTGGTTCCATCTTGGTAAGAGCCCTACATGAGTTGCCTCCAGTTTGTGAATGGTTGCCACTTTGTATTCCAATTCCCCTAAATAATACTGATAATTCCCCTTTTTGCTTCTGTTAGATTAGCACACATTTGCATGGTGCTTGTATAATGGCTTTAACTGTTGATCTACACACATAGGTGTTCAGGAAATAAATATTTTCAATTTTTAATCAAATTCTTTAAGAATCCAACCCATGTACTCATTCCTGTCCATCACCATACCCATCCAACACACACACACACACAGAGACACACACACACACACACATTTATGCACACATGCACAAGGGTTCTGGGGTCTTAAATAGTACAAAGTTATTGGAGAGATGATTCCTGTCATCACTAAGGCATCCACACCATTTACCACTGAGAAACTCATTGTCATAGTTCGCATTGTCCTATCAACTTGATGCTTCTGTATCACACTTGGAAGATAGGGTTTTTCTCTTATTATTGTAAGAATACAGTGCCTCCTAGGGTATAAACTTACAATGTGAAAATGTAAGAATATTTAAAGAAATAATTTCTGAGTTTTTTCATCCCACTGTGAATGATGCTAGGGAGAAAGTCAGAAGCCCCTCATGCCTTTTAGACCCATAATCGCCTTTCCAATCTGCAAGAATTCCATTTTTCTCTCTCTACTTTTCAGGCATTCTTTCCCTTACCTCCTCTTTCTGAGATATCTGTCAATGAGTTTGGGTCCAGAGTTGACAAAATCAGATGTTTAGGAACCAACAAGGGAATACAATGTGTGAAGTAGCTGTTTATAAGACCAGGTGAGAAAGGCTATAGGGAGCCAGAGCATTCATGATTTACTTAAAAGTAATGTACTTTTTAAAACCCGTCTTATTCTGAACATAATCGGTCTTTCCTAGAATCTATTAGGCTTTTTATTTTGGTAAAATTGGGAAGAATTATTTTCCAATGCTACCAACTTTACACCTACAATTCCCAAGAGCATATGGGAGAAATGAGCTCATTATTCACATAGGCACTTCATTTGCTGAATTACATATCCCATAGCTAGATTACACTTTCCATCCCCTTTGCATCTAAGCTGGTGAGAAGGTGACTATCACCAGTGAAGTGATGCTCACCACTTCCAGGTTTGATCCCTAAACCCTCTGCATTGTTCTCATAATTTCTCAGGCCCTGACCAGATGCAGAGAATCCAGGACCCAAAGGTGCTCAAATGTTAAGAGAATTAAACCTGGCCCATAAATAATTGCAGAGATTAAATCCATTGCTGATCATTCCATTGGATTGTGACCTATGGTACTAGTCCAAGGAAAACATGAAATTGTTTATCATAGAAGTTACCCTAATCTGAATAATAGTAACTAAGGCAAAAAACTTCAAATCTTGCATTATTTATTGATATACAACAAATTACCAAAAATGTAGCTGCTTAAAACACCACAAATTTATTATTTCAGTTTCTGTAGGTCAGAAGTACTGGACAACCTGGTTAGATTATTTGCTGAGTCTCACTTAGCTAAAATCATAGAGCTGGCCAGATCTGTGGTTCTGAGGCTTGGGATCCTCCTTAAGCTCATTCATTGTTGGAAGAATTCAGCTTCTTACAGCTGTAGGTTTCTTTGCCCTCTGTCAACTGGTGGGGTGCGGTGGTATTCTCTGCTTCTAGAACCGCTTGCATTTCTTCTCATGTGGTCCCCTTCATCTTTAATCCAGCGCTGGTTAAGTCCTTCTCAAACTTCTACTTTTAAGATGTCCTGTGATTACATTGGACCCACTCAAATATTCCAGAATAATCTCCCTATTTTAAAGTAAATTTACTAATTTTATCTATAAAGTTTCTCTTGCCATTTAAGCTAATATAGTCATAGGTATGATATCATATTCACAGTCCTGAGAATAAGGGGATGGACTTTTCTTGGAGGCCATACTTCTTCCTATCACATCCTTGATGAATGATAAAAGGAGAAGAAATATTATTTAATATATGTTGATGCATTATTTTTCCTTTTAATATATTAACTTACCTTGTCACATATGAACCAAAAGTGCAGTAAACCCTTGAACAACATGGCTTTGAACTGTGCAGGTTCACTTATACATATTTTTTTCAATAAATATACAGTCATCCCTCTGTATCACTGAGTTTCACATCTGTGGATTTGATTAGCTGCAGATGAAAAACAGTATTTTCCATTTGCAGTTGGGAATCCACAATGTGGAGGGTCAATTGTATGCATTGTTCTGTGGCATTTTACATAAGGGACTTTATCACTTGAGGATTTTGCTATATGTGTGTAATGGGTTCTAGAACCAATCCCCTGTAGATACTGAAGGATGACAAAAGTTTTGGGGGAGTCAAAAGTTACATGTGGATTTTTTATTGCATTATTATTGGCATCCCTACCCCCCTGTTGTCCAAAGGTCTGCTGTAGACAGTTTTTAAGGTTTCAATAATCATAGTTCACATGGTTTAAAAAACTAACTAGTTATACAAAATTATCTTGAGTAGCAAATAACCCCATTTGGAACTCTAAATGCCTCTAATTTAGCAATGTCCCAGACACATATTTTCTGAGTGCCTTTATGTGAAAAAAGTTGAGAAACACTGATATTACTATGGAAGATAGAGATTTTAACCTTCCCTTTTCCAACACCCAATCACCACACAAATGAACATTTCCCTTATCCATTCTCTCTATTAAAGCTCATAATTTGGGGCAGAGAGACATGTACTTATTTGTATTTTTATGACTATGTATGCTATCAGAACTGAGCCATTTAATAATTTGTCGCTACCCCCCCGAATTTTGTCTTTTTATTCTTCTTTTGGTTTTGTTAGATTTTAATCCCATACTCTCCACTAGTTTTCTAAATCTCTTAAACACATTGACTCATATTCCAGTTTCATCATTTTGAAGGAGTCTGGAGATGCCCACCCTCCATTGCTGTACAGAGTTGTCAACTCAAGGACCCCTTCTTCTTTTTCATCACCTTAGAATTTTTTCATAGTTTCTTTTACTTTAGACATAATTTATTTCTCTCTCTCGCTGTGCTCCCTTGATATGAAAAATAAATACTCCAGTAGCTTTCACCCCTCATTCTCCATGCATGGATGTAATACATTTATTGATTTTAATGTTCCCAATAACTGTTTTCTGGATAATTTTTAAACATAGAAATGAATATATAAATATACTTTATCTTGTTTAACACTTCAATATGTATTTTTTAACTTTTCAAGCCCTGTAAAGTTTTCTTGTCTTTACATTTTGAAGTAACTATAAATTCACTCAAAATTCCTTGAAGCTGCAAAGATAGAGGCTGATGTACCCTTCATCCAACTGCTCAATGGTTAAGTCTGTGCAGATGGAGCACAATATCAAAACCAGGAAATTGACAGTGGAACATTATAGTTAATTAAACCACAGACCTTTTTTAGTGTTTTTCACATTTTATTCTGCATTTATTTGTGTGTGTATTTAGTTGCATACAACTTTATCCTATGTGTATGTTTCTGTAACCATGACCATAATCAAGAGACAGAACAGTTTCATAGCCACATAAAACTCTTTCATGCTACCTCCTCATAGTAACACCTCACTACCAACCCTATCTCTGTCTCCTGGTAACCACTCATTTGTCCTTCCTCCCCATTATTTTTTCCATTTCAAGATTATTGAAATGAAATCATACAATATTTAAGTTCTTGAGACTGAGTTTATTCACTAAGTATAATTCTCTTGAGGCCCATCCATATTTCTGTGTGTGTCAATAGTTCTTTATCTATCAGAGTTTTCACTTTCTCTGTATGATATATATATATATGC